GGAGGGGGGGGGGGGGGGAGGGGGATAAATGAAGGAAGTGTTTTTGGTAGCAGTAGTAATGGTTTACTCCTAAATCAACAACAACAAAGACCTAAACAGAAAACTCACGAAGCTGAACATTGACAAAACATCCCCAACGCTTATTCCACACATCTAAAAGACCATGCAACCAGCTCAGAGCTAATGCAGAATGATATCTATGGTGGAATGTTCACATGGTCAGCGCTGACGACAACACTCAACACCATCTCTGCCCAACTGGCATCAATTCATAATGCCACTTTCACCGAGTAAAAGATAAGCCGCCAAGCTCATACCAAGCATAAGGTAAGATGTGACAAAGTTTGTGTGGCTTATTGTGGAAAGGCTCATCTAACCAGATTAAAAAAAAAAGATGTGAGTCCATTCAGATACAGAATGCTAACGAGTGCTCCAACTCTCTTGGTCACGTGACACCAAGAGTTGCTCTGCGTCATTGGGGTCTATCGAAACGGCCACATCTCTCTGTCTTGGTATTGCATTGTGGTCCTTCAAAACTGTTCGCAAATATGGAAGCCTTGGACATTCCAGTAGGACGATAGCACAACAGGCACCAATGAGAGAAAACCGCAAACAATCAAAATGGGGTCATAAAGTGCGAAAGAGCTTCTCCGACTTGAGAAGCAAAGACCCTTAGATGAGTAAACTCTCTTAGCAGACTGGATATCTAAACCATTTACAATATAATAATTAACGTGAGCTTATATGAATACGTTTGCAGTAAGTTTTGGGCGTCAAAACTGGAAACATTTTTAACATATCTACAACGTTTTTGGCATTTTGATAGATGAAACATTATTCTAGTGAATGAGATAGCGAGTTTGAAATAATATGGAATAAATGATTTGACTTTAAATCTAATATGTTGTCAAAATTGGATTTTTTTGTGGTCAAAAATCGCGTAAGTGGGCACCCCTATTAGTGGTCGTACGCACCAAAAGCAGGTGAGCTGAGCAGTAGCTGAGCCGTGTTAAATCTTAGTAATATTATTATTCATAGCCTACGCCGTTCGCACCAAAAGCAGTAGCTGCGCCTTACTGAGCAATGTACTGCTAGCAGTGAGCAGTAAAATATATCTTCCCATTTACTACCGCTCAATGCTAGCAGCAATTTAATAATAATAATAATAATAATAATAATAATAATAATAATAATAATAATAATA